ACGCCAAGCTCGTTGGACACTCTCGTTGATGCGCAGGTCGACAACGAGACCATCACACCGTACAACAAGTAATCGAAGTTGAGGACTAAGGTCAGGACCGCAACATTGCGCTGAGCGTCTCCCATTCTGCCCGCAAGAAGTATAAGAATCTCGTAGCACCACCACTCGAGGCAGCCGCTGAAGCAGCACTGAGCCGAGAGGGTCAACAGTCGCGTCCATTCGCTCAGCTGCTGCTTCCACCATCCTTCGTAGATCCATGACTCCGTGGCCAGCACGTAGAAAGCGAGCATGATCGTCGCACTGAGATCCGTCAGCGCAGTAGCCAGCGCGACGCCTTCTATCCCCTTGATCTTAGAAAGGAAAATGTTGAACGGCAGGTGAAAAGCTACTGCGACACCTGAGCTGAACATAATTGGCAGCGTTTTACTCTGTGAGCTCAAGTAGGCCTTTAAGGGAGCAAGAAACGAGGTAAGTAAAAGGTCTGGGAGGAGATATAACACACAGTTTTTAGCCAGAGCTGTGATTTCTCTGTTTTGGCCAAAGAGTGTGAGGATTTTGTCCGTGTAGAGCCATAACAAGGAAATAGGGAGGGTAGTTAGTAGTAATAGGATTACGGTCATGAGTAGAGTTTTGTGGAGGAGTTTGTGGTTATTGGCACCGTGGGCTTGGCCACAAATGGGCTCCATGGCCCAACAAAGGCCCGTGAGGATGGAGCCGGCCGCCAGCTGAAGCTCACCGAGGCGGCCGAGGAACGCCGTGGTGATGGCCGTTTTAGCGAACCATGTTGAGTTCATTGGTATGAGAGGGAGGGCTAGGCTTTTTTGCTTCTTGAGCTCTAAGAGAATGGTTTGTTTGAAATGTAGCATAGCTAAGTTCTAACTGGGATTGGATTGAAAAGCAAATTGGCAAAGGGAAGTGGAAGAGATTGTTTGATTAGCAACCATATTAATGCTACAAGCGTACAAGCTAAAGGTTGGCATAATTTATGATCGTTGGAGTAGTGGAGTATGAGTTCGAAAACATGTTAATGTTTGTGTAGCTTACGGCTGAAGTGGTTCCACGACCAATGACTTGGCTTTTCCATGTAGTCATATAAACTTTCTAATCAATGAAAGACATTTATTGTTTTTTGTAAGAGTAATTATTTTTGTACCCAAAATTTGGAACATGTCATGGGACTGATGATGTGAAAATTCCTTTTTAATTTTTTTTAGGTTTTTTGCGGTTACAGGCTAGGAAGATCAAAAAATCCAAGTAAGGGAAAATTGCTTGGACCAAGCAATTTGTAAGAAGTCATGCACCCCTCACCCCCAACTAGAGTCAGCCCATTATAAACTCTTTGACCCAAGTTTCCATGCTAAAATACCCCTAGCCCAACATTGTATATGTACTTTATACTGTATTTTTAAGTATTGCCCACTTTACCCCTGTTGTACCCATTTGTGGAGTATCTAAAATATTTTGTCTTATTAGGCAGTCCTCATTCCATTATACAGTGGGAAGTGACATCCGATTGGGTTCAAGAGAATTGGGGAGAATGGCATTAATGGTTGAGAGAGTTTTTTTGGAAGGAAAGGAAAAATTAGAGGGACAACATACTAAGTTCCCTCCAAATAATGTCTCATCTCAATGTAATATCTTCTTCCCTCTTTAAATTCTACTCAACAACCTTCAACAACCAAAATATTCTTAAAATTTTCTTATTAACTAATTCAACAACCAAAATGGAAGAATCTTTAATGTTTATGATTTCATTTAGCACAAATGCAACCCTCATTAAAGTCAATTCTGCAACAAGTTTAGTTGAATTGAAGATACAAGCTGCAGAGAATTTAAGAGTACCATACGAAAGTTTGTTGATAAGTTACTCTCTCGAGAAGTTCCCCAATGTATCGTTTGAGCTTTCAAAAGATGAAGATATTCTCAACATGGTAGATTATCATCGTTCAATAGGGTTTAATACGATAACTATGACTGTTACTAAAAGAGATGGAGGATCCACGCTTGTTATTCGGACAGAAACATAGCTTAAGTAAGTATTCAAAAAATTATTTTCAGGTTTTGGATACACGTTATAATGGGAACTGTGATATTTACGTCTTATATGTGACCTGAAAACATTGCACGTGACATATCGACTTTATTTGTGACATATACTAGTTAACAGTTATTTGTAATTATCACACGTGACTTATTTGTATGTTATATTCAACTTGCAGTCTTCCTAATGTAAGCTCACAGTCATCAGAGCATATCAAGGAACCTTATGAGAGGATCCCAATCGATGAATCGGAGAGGATCCCTAACGACAATCCTCAAGGAGAGCATGTGTGGACGATGAACGACGTAGTAAGTGACTCGACACGGATCCCAACATGGTGGCACGAGACAATTACTGGAAAAGGGCAGCAATTTGAAAGCGCAAAAGAAGTTAGAATGACTCTTATATACTATGCTATAGCTAAGAAGTCTGCTTTTAAATATGTTAACAATGAGCCAAAACGTATTCGTGCTAGTTGCATGTTTAGAAAAGAAACAAAATGGCCGTGGTTGCTTTTTGCTTCACGATTGAGCCATGTGTCGACCTTTGCTATAAAATTTTTTTGTTCCTCAACATACTTGTGGACAACATAACAGCACAGCTGGTCACTCCAGAGCATCAAGAAGGCGGATTGCAAGTATGCTACAATCAATTATGAAGAGGAGTCCATATATCACCCCAACTGACATTAGAAAGGAATTGCACTCTTAATACAGTTTAAAAGTTAATTAGTCTAAAGCTTGACATGCTAAGGAGACAACAAAAGACCAAATATTTAGTTGCACAAGACATTCATATGATTTACTATCCTGGTTAGTCCATTAATTTGTTGATGTCTCTTTTAGAACATATATGTATCACAGTTAACTGTAAATGTGACATGTCAGAACGCTATGTGACAAATAAGCATAACATGTGATATTTCAACGACATATGTGACACTTCAAATCTAAATATGACTCTTCAACCTTTTATGTGATATTTAGATTTGTTTTATGATATTTGAGTATTACATGTGACATTGAGATCTAATATGTGACATTAACGTATTATATGTGACCGTTAGAACTTATTCATCATTTAACAAGTTATTGTCCTTTTAACCATCATTTAAAGGTACCAAATGAAGGTGATGGAAACAAACCTATGCACTGTCTTCATCATTGAACAAGAAGAAAGAAGATTCAAGCGTTTATTTGTGTCCTATGTGCATGCATACATGGGTTTCTCAAAGGATGTAGGTCATTGCTTTTTCTAGATGGGACTTTTTTGATAGATAGCTACAAAGGGATCTTATTAGGTGCGACTGCTTATGATGGTAATTAATGCATATTTCCACTCGCATTTTGCGTTTATGACCAAGAAAATGAAGCGAATTAGAGTTGATTTATTCAAGGATTGCGGTATATTTTGTACAATCGAACAGAAGCATATGATTCACCCCGTCCTCTAGTCATTTTGTCAGATGCCGACAAATGAATAAAACAATCTTTAAAAGATATATTTCCAGATGTGTACAATTATAGATGTGTACTTCATCTTGTTGAGAATTACAAATTGAAGTTTAGAGAGATGGGTTTTGCCTCAAATGTTGCTCAATGAATTTCAAAATTATTGGAGTTTGCTGCAAATAAATATACAGAAAGAGAATTTAAAGCTGTTTTATATAAGATTAGGTTAACGGATCAAAGAGCTTACCAAGTAACTCTCAGTTATGGTCCAAATAATTGGGCGAATTATGTATTTCCTGGTATAAGGTACGTCAAATATCAGCCATTTTCTGTGAATTTGATCTGTTAAATGTCACATTATGCTTTTATATGCAACATTCATCTGTTATGTGTGACCTTTACTCATCTCATGTGGCATCACTCTATTATATGTGACTCTTATCTGTGGGCTGTGACAATTTACTATTGCTTGTGACATTTGTCGTTTATATGTGACACCTGATTGTACTTTGTGATAGTGAATTTGTGTTTGATACATATGATATTTATTTGCAGATATGGTCATATCACTTTTAATGTTGCTGAATCTTTCAACAATTGGATTCGTGTGGCGAGAACACTTCCTGTTTACGATATGATGGATCACATTCATGTGCAAATTATGGAAAGGATAAATAATTGCCACGAGATGGCAACAAAATGGAATAGCTATCTATGTCCTGAAGCGAAAAAAATTCTCCAAGAAAATTGCATGAAGGGAAACACTCTTGAAGTCTCGCATTCTATAGCTGGAATCTTTGAGGTATCATCTCAAAAATTAGTACAAGTTGATTTGGTACACAAAACATGCACGTGTCGTGCATGTGATATATTGTGAATACCATTGTAGGCGTCAAAAAATGTCTATGGGTTCCCACGCGTAGTTTGACACTAAACGAAGACAATGAACGCCATCACCCAAGTCAGAGGGGATTATCTGAAGTAAGGAGGATCATCCGAGGCCGAAGAGAAGCTAATGAGCGCACAAAGTGAGCCTACGAAGTGCACAAGTCAACGGAACGTCAATACGAGTCCGGGAAAACCAAAAATAGCCAAATCTCGAGGCAACCCGCGCAAGTGCGGGTCACCAAAAATAGCTAATGAGCAGGGTACCATATTCTTCGGTCATTGGGAGTCTCATGTACGTGATGGTTTGTACGAGACCGGACATCGTCCATGCAGTGGGAGTTATGAGCAGATTTGCAAGCAATCCAGGGAAGCAGCATTGGGAGGCTGTGTAGTGGATAATACGGTACTTGAGAGAGACAACGAACAAGCCATTATGTTTCAGGAGGAAGGAGTTGGTGCTGCAGGGATACGTGGATGCGGACTTCGCCGGTGATCATGATAAGAGACGAAGCACCATGGGGTATGTTTATACCTTAGCATCAACAGCAGTGAGCTGGGTCTCACGTCTGTAGAAAATTATGACTTTGTCTACAACCGAGGCTGAGTATGTCACGGTGACTGAAGCAAGGAAGGAGATGATCTAATTGAACGGGTTCTTGGAAGAGTTGGATCTGAAGCAAGGGAGATGAGTTCTTTATTGTGATAGCCAGAGCACTATACATCTTGCCAAGAATCCAGTATATCATGCCAGAACAAAGCACATCAACGTAAAATACCATTTTATACACTCGCTAGTTGAAGACGGAAAGTTACATTTAATGAAGATTTTGGGGAGTTAAAATCCGACGGACATGTTGACGAAGACAGTCACCATTGAGAAACTGGAGTTATGCGCAACTTCAGTTGGCCTTCACGGGTAGAAGACGAAGGCGGAGCCACACTACGAAGATCGGCACGATCGCCGGGATATTGTTGATTGAAGAAAGAATTTTTTCCAGAGGAGAAGATACATGCAAAGAAGGGGAGAGTTCGGGTGAACTCACTGCAGGAACTTTGGTCTCCAAGTAGGAGTTGTTAGTCTAAGGTGTAGACCCAAAGTCGAGATGAAAGCTGGAATCAAAACGACGAAGAGAACAAGCTGGCAGATCCACGGTCGACCGCGAGAACCTGGCGGTCGACCGCGAACGTGCACAGGGCTGGATCCGAAGGCAGTCGACCGCTACGGTCGACCGCGCCAACCCTGTAGGATTTTTGGTCTCGGGTTTTTATTGCGGTCGACCGCCGCGGTCGACCGCGACGCTGTCAAACAGTTTCCTAAACTGTTTTGGATTCTGTTTCTACCAGGACTCTATATATACCTTAAATATTTTTAGGGTTTGTACAACACGAAAAAAGAGAGCTTTTTGGCTACAGAAAGAGAGAGAATCTCAGAGAGATTAAACCCTAGTTTGAGAGCTTGTGTTTCTTCTTCAATTAATAAAGAAATTGTGTGGTGTGGCTTCCGAGGACGTAGGCATGTTGCTGAACCTCGTTAAATCTGTGTGTTCGTCTCATTTACTATTTTGCAAGGTTAGATCTTTATTTATGGTATTATTCCTATTTTCCTACTTTCAACACAAGGTCAGGAAGGGCAAGAGTTCGATTGATTGTTTCGAATCCCCAACAATTTCCAAACACATTGTGTTTTGCTTTTGACAAAAACACAATAAGAATAACAAAAACACCATGATATCCAAACAATACCTAAGATATTACTAGCGAGTAATGAAGAAAGGAGCAACATGAACGTAATATACGTGTAGTCTGGGTTATCATTAATAAGCTTCAGATTCTGCAACTAAATTCTCCTCCTCCTTTCCCAGTACCTCTCTAATTGCCACCAACTTCTGCACCTTCTCGGCCTCAGCAGCCCAATCCATCCTCAGTACCAACACAAACAACAGTCCTGCACTGCTCATACTCCCAACCAAAAACCCCAACAACAGCCCATAAACCCCAAGCCCCACCCTAAAACAAACAACCCCGGCCGAAGGCAACCCCACAAAATAAAACCCCACCACGCTCAACATCGCCAACCAAGGCCGAGAACTCCCTCTCAAAATCCCCCCACAAACCCCCAGCACAAAATTAAACAGCCATTATCATCAATGTCCTCTACACATCTTCAACGCGACGTCCGCCTGTCCACTGACTGAAACAAAAATTCCCCCATTCTGCTTTAATGGACCAACCATCAATAACCCACACAACTCCGGGCCGGCCACCAACCCCGAGCGCAAACCGAAAGGGGCGGCTGCACGCGGCTCGGCCAGCCGCAGCAAGCTCGTTGGACACCCTCGTCGATGCGCAGGTCGACAACGAGACCATCACACCGTACAAGAAGTAATCGAAGTTGAGGACTAAGGTCAGGACCGCAACATTGCACTGAGCGTCCTGCGTTCTGCCCGCAAGAAGTATAAGAATCTCGTAGCACCACCACTCGAGGCAGCCGCTGAAGCAGCACTGAGCCGAGAGGGTCAACAGTCGCGTCCATTCGCTCAGCTGCTGCTTCCACCATCCTTCGTAGATCCATGACTCCGTGGCCAGCACGTAGAAAGCGAGCATGATCGTCGCACTGAGATCCGTCAGCGCAGTAGCCAGCGCGACGCCTTCTATCCCCTTGATCTTAGAAAGGAAAATGTTGAACGGCAGGTGAAAAGCTACTGCCACACCTGAGCTGAACATAATTGGCAGCGTTTTACTCTGTGAGCTCAAGTAGGCCTTTAAGGGAGCAAGAAACGAGGTAAGTAAAAGGTCTGGGAGGAGATATAACACACAGTTTTTAGCCAGAGCTGTGATTTCTCTGTTTTGGCCAAAGAGTGTGAGGATTTTGTCCGTGTAGAGCCATAACAAGGAAATAGGAAGGGTAGTTAGTAGTAGTAGGATCACGGTCATGAGTAGAGTTTTGTGGAGGAGTTTGTGGTTATTGGCACCGTAGGCTTGGCCACAAATGGGCTCCATGGCCCAACAGAGGCCCGTGAGGACGGAGAAGC